TAGAGCGCAACCCCTCCCCCTTTCTTCCCCACCCTGTCCTTTCTGTATCTATAGCCCTCAATATGTACTGCCCAGTCGTGGGATGAATCCCACCAGGTTTCCGTTAGCCCCACTAAGTCATAGGTGTTTAGTGCAAGCAGGAGCGCTAGTTCATCCTGCTTGTTCCCCATGCTCCTAGCATTAGTATATAGGCACTTGAGCCCTGAGACTGGTGCCTTTGCTGCCCCCCAGGTCCGAGTCCCAAGGGGCCCTTTGTTTCTTACCTTCTCGTTTCTTACCTGTGTCGTAGTGCTAGCCTCCCCATGGCTTTCAGGTTCCCAATGCTCTCTTTCTTCACAGGCTGGGCTGTTCTTGTGGGTGCCACATGGTTTGGTGGTCCACAGCTTCTCCCGCCCTTATCTTCCCCTCCCCCCGACGAGCCTAGTTTAAAGCCCACCGGAGGAGATCCGCCAACCTAGAAGAAAACACACGCTTACCTTTGGGGGACAGGTGAAGCCCATCCCAGCTAAGCATGTCCCTTGTCGTGATGTGCGGGTCATTGTCCAGGAAACCGAAGCCTGCCTCGAGACACCACTGCCGAAGCCACCAGTTGGTCTCTCGGATGCAGTTCTCATGCCGTCTTCTGTGTCCGTTCACTGGTAGGATGGAAGAGAATACCACCTGTGCACCGAACTCCCTCAGCACGCCGCCCAGAGCACTGTAGTCCTAGAGCTCTTATGTCCATTATTTCCATACAGTAACATGATTGCATTTTGCTGACCATTTATGGTAGCTACTTCCTCTATGTGGCTCTGATTCAGCAAAGCATCCAAATATGCTCTGCTAACCTTTATAGAAATCCATTCTATTTCACCCTTGCTGAACAGTAATGAACTTAAATGTGTGCTTACCTAGCTTGTCTGAACTTTATCCCAAAGCTTTCCTAACTTTATCCCAACCATGCAGTTGGTCCATTATATTACGCACAAAAATTATGCCTCTCACATAATGGTAATTCCTAGACCATCATGGCTACAACATCACTGCAAAACTACTTTACCTTTAAGGGCATGTGTAAGTGTTTTGCTGAATTGGGTTCTGCTAGAAAAATTCTCTAAGGGCATCGACATGAATATAATGTTAGGCACACAAAAACTAGAAACAGTCCATCTCATGATGGCATAAAATCACTTTTCACGAAAAAGCAAAAGAAAAAAAGAACTAGAAACAAACAGCTGCACATATTTTGTCAGGTGTGGCGTAGGAAAACAGATCTGTTGTATCTATGGTCACTGTTATTAACCTGCCTATATTGATAAATCCTGCAACATGCTCTCTGTGTAGCATCAATATAAAGTATTCCATTTATTTTATAACAGACTCATTGGTGGACATGGATACATGTTTGCTTTCTGAAGCAAATGGATAAACAGATTTTTGAAGCCACACCTCCACATCATTGTCTACCCACACAGTTTTGTTCTAATGCCAGAAAGCACAAAATACACTTTTATGTTATATGCCTATACTTACATAAAGTTGTTTCCCTTTTAATGAAATGAATACAAGCTAGTGCTTGATAAGTGGATATACTAAAATGAAGCCGTATTACAAAAAAGTAGTGTCATAATCTACTTCTTCCCACCACCCTTTTTCCCCTCCTTATCCTTTACCCGTGGTCTGTTTCTATTCTTTATTGTTGCATGGGGACAAATAAATAAGCTAGCCTTAGTAAGACTACACTAAAGCTGTTCCTCTGTGAAGACCTGTGAAAGGAATTTGAGTAGTATATTTTAAAATATGGCTGTAGTTGAAACAAGTCCCAACAGGTTTTGGCTGTCCAGCCTTTTTGGTTTTGATTTTGGTTATAAAAAAATTGGCCCAGTCCACACTCAGTCAAAGCAAGGTAAGGTCATTTTCAGCCATGGCTAAATTTTAAACCCTGTTCATGTAAGCAATTGAACTCTGTTGAAAACCTTGTGTAGACATTGCCATCGTTGCTTTGTAGTTACTACCATGTTTTAAACTACTGATTCTGAAAATAAAGAGATTAATTTATTTCATGTCCTTTTAAAGATAATTAGGGCCCCAATCTTGTAAAGATTTGCGCACAGGTTTAGTTCTGAGACTAGTAAAGCTAGAAAAGTAAGAGAAATGAAGCACAGGATAGGGGTCAGAATCAGAAGCTTGAAGTGCCTTCAGATTAAGACTGAACTGAAAAATGTAAACAGAAGAAGGTTTTTTGAAGGTATAATTTTGTACCTGTGACTAAACTGTACTCATATGTTCATGCCTGAAGTTATTTGTGGCCATAAATATTATGAATAAAATAGTTGGGGACAGTCAGACTCTGACTGTTAGAATGGTATTATTTGCACCTGTGATTAATCTAGTAAAATGTTGCACAAAAAGTGAGCTTGTTTGAAAAAAAAATCTGTCCTTAAAGATTTAACATTTCTAATAAATAAATGGATTGATAAAGTACCATATTATCCATAGTGAAATTTGACTTTACGTTTTAAAATAAAATGAATTCATGTTCTCCTTAACATCGTGTCAAGTCCCAGATAGATGTTGTTTTCTACACTGTTGCACAGCATAAGACATTATAACTATCCTACACCAATCCTACAACAGAACCTTTTTCTGTATCTATTTAATCATTCTGCTTGTATTTGGCGTTCTTAGTTCTAGGATTTACAAACTAATGTCATCAGTGAAGTAAAATGGCAGCTACTGTTTCTCTTAGGTTGATTAAATATCCCCAGTTCAATGGTAGGCAAGGGAGATGGGGAAATAATGAATAGCAAATTCTTATAAAATTAGTTGTTGATTGGTAGGTTGCATTTGTATACGTGGTCATAAAACTGCATTTCAGGGGCTGCAGTTGCCCCTCGTCTAGCACAAGGACATTCAAAACCCATGAATCTTTTCCTCCATGTCTCTTTAGCCTGTAGCAGACAATGTGATCCCAGCTTTCCAAGGGACATTATTTAAAAAATTTAAAGCTGTCTATAGGCAGCTTCCTCTGAGCATTTTCTGTTGATTGTTTCAATAGGTTTGTTTGCAACTTCTGGTTAGATATACGAGTCATTTGAGATCTGAAATAGGGTAAATAGCAAGATAGCCACCAAAACCATTTGTCAACACTTCATTTATTCCACTGACCACTTAATGTAATTAGACTGATTTTATAACCAATTTAAGCCTGACTAGAAAATTCAATCATTACTGGTATGTGCCCAAATCCCACAAGGGCTTAAGCACATGGAAGCAACTGAGATACTCATGCCAGTGAAATTACAAATGTGCTTATGTCTTCGCAGAATCAAGACCTTACCCTGTTTTGCTAGTCTATTTCCTCACAGACTTAAATCTTTTTTACTGTCTTGTGCTTTTCGATATATAATGTTGTTTGAATCCCTAAAAAGAACATTTGTGTTTCCTGACAAAACAGGCCATTACAGTTTTCATAAAATGAACTTCTGCCTGAGGTTTAAATAATCCAGGGTAAGATCAAAGTCAGGCACTAATTTCCATTTGCTGAAGTCTATCATTCTCCAGGAGCCATGATCTTGAAGTACAGCCTCCATTTCATTATTGTTGTCATGCTCAACACCTCCATAAATAATGGACTCTGAGAATTTCCTTATTTTCTACAGAGGAAAACAATATTGTCATATATCTTATTTCAGAAAATATTTTCACACACACACCACAAAAAAACAAATCAACAACAAAATATGGTTCATCTAAGCTATTAAAAACAACCAAACCACAACGAAAAATACTAAAAATCCACCAAGCATCTTAAAGTTCTACAAGTGTTTAGGTATTTTCCAACAGAATATTCATAGAATGGGTCATATGGCTAAACTGAGCATTTAGTCTTAACTGAAAGGAAAAGGAAAGTGTTTAGCTGCACTGCCCTAGATGAATCATTGTTCCTCCTGTATCTTCTACCTTGGGGTCAGGATCTAAGTTTAAATTATTTCCCCCCTTTTCAGGATGCAGTTCACTTCCCCTTTCATGCCTGGCCAGCTAGATTTTCCAGTATGTAGGGA